CCAGCTTGCAGGACTGGCCTAGGGTAATTTTTAGAGGGGTTTTAATTATATTTTAATTGGACTACGTTTAAATATTTCTTTTTAATTAATTTTAATTTTGTAATTGTTATTTGTGTATTTTAATCGATTGTCAGCCGCCCTGAGTCCGCAAGGAGAAGGGCGGGATATAAATTGAATTTAATAATAATAATAATAATAAATAATAATAATTTATTATTTTTAAGGATGTTAACCTCATACTTACAGATCAGGTGGGCCAATATCTTCACCAAGTTATACAACTGCGCAAAACTTTTAATTCGATGCTGCACATTGTTTTGTTGCCTGATTCTTTTTTCCCTTTCCCAATAACAAATTGTTGTGTTAAACCATTTCTCTATTTTACTGTACTTTTTTTTATTGTAAAGGCTGGTTGAAGACTGAACTGAACAAAAAGCATTATTTAGGGAACATTTAGATATATTAAGGAGTCACTAAGGTCATCTGGAGTTTATTTATTTATATCTTATATTTCTAAACCGCCCATCTCTCTCAAAGAGTGGTAATATAATCAATAAATAAAACAAAGTATAAATATTAAAATTAAATTAGAATTTTTAAAAAATTCAATTATAGACTAATGACAATTAAACATCAAAAGGGCAAAAGCCCTAAGATGGCCATTTAACATTGGTTACTACAAGGTGGAGGTGGCTCTCTTGGGACTAGTTAGTCCCATAATTGAGTGGTCCTCTGTGCCCCCCACTCAAGGCTGCAGAGCCAAGATTTGACCCATTGCTAAAGGCCAAGAGATTGGTGGCTTTCTTCCCCTCTGAGGGCAGGATGCTCCACAATGCGAGGGCAGTGGCAGAGATGGGCTGATGAGATGGGATGAAGCCAGTTCTGTAAGTAATCTGACCCTATGCCATGTAGGGCTTTATAGGTGATGACCAACACCTTGAATTGGACCCAGAAGCAAACTGGTACCCATTGCAAATCCAGAGCAAGGATGTTATATATGTGCCCTTTTTCAGGCACCCAGTTAGGGCTCGCGCCGACACACTCTGCACCAGCTGAAGGTTCCAGATTCTTTTCAGAGGTAGCCCCATGTAGCGTGTGTTGCAATAGTCCAATTGGCAGATGATCAAGGCATGAGTGACCGAGTGACCAAGTGTAGAGCCTCACTGTCCAGGAAAGGGTATAGTCGGCACACAACACGGAATTGGGCAAAAGCCCTCCTGGCTATGGCTGCCATCTGTTCATCGAGCAGGAGCCAAGAGTCTAAGAGGACTCCCTAGTTATGCACCAAAGATGACAAACTACTGGGCACAGAGGAGCCCCCCCCCCCAACTAAGTTACTTTGGATTTTTCTATGGCCTCTGAAAAAAGGCTGTTATTAAGAAGGAGCTATCTTCCAGTCAGGGGTGGAACTCCAGCCCAGGAGCCTCCTTTCCTAAGGTGAAGCCAGAAGAACATGCAAATGCACTACAAATGAAAATAAAGATTCATTTCTTTGAGTCTATCATTCTGCTGCTGAAAGTGGGCAACTAGTCTTTGCTCGGGGCCTCCAGGCAAGATCTTGGTCTGTCACCCACTTGTCTTTTATCATGCTTGTCAGCTTGTCCTCCAAGTACTTGCCAGGACATTAACTGGCAAACACAAGGCGCTCAATTTGGTATAAACCCTCTTCCATATCTTTCTGTGGTTTGTTTTTCTTTCCTGCTGCTGGCCATTTGATCGGGTCTTACCCAACGTCTATTAAGAGCAGGCAAAGATTTAGCAAGCTTCTCCTCTGCTATACATTGCAGTTTCAGATTCTTTTTTTCCCTCCCAAAAGAAAAGAAATGCAGTTGCCCCATTTTTTAAAAAAAATACCAATTTGCTTTATGTTATGGCTAAAGCTATCTGGTATTTGGAGGAACTTTTCAGTGGTGTTTTTTTCCACATTAGCACAAAATTCAGAAAGGGGAAAACTGTACCACTGTACAGAAAAATACTTCAGCTGAACCACTCATGTGAAATTATTCAACTTTGCAGAACAAATCAAAGGCATGGAAAAAGATTTGCTCTGGTGGTGCAGACTGAGATCGTCTGGACAAACAGGCCAGGGTCAGGATATTAGAGCCATGGGAGTCTAACCTAAACCTAATTCTGTTCTGGGTTGTGCCAGTCTCACTTAGAGACCATCTACATTTAGAATACCTGTCTATGTTTTGCACATCCTTTGTTAGGCAGCAAAATCTTACTGCTCCTTCTCCACTAACAACTTGCTGCCACAAGAGTCCACAGCAAGCCTTGAGGATGCCAAAAGGACGTGTGTACCATGAGGTTATTGCACAAATTACACTAGTGTGTTACTTGAGTCATGATGTCGGATGCAAATACCTAAAAGTCATGCATCTCCTTGATGCTTATATCATAATTTGCCCCCCAAATCCCATCAGTTACTTAGAACTCTTTCTAGAGTCATCCCTCCATTGCTGTGCCAAATTGATGGGATTGCAATAAGGAGGACAGGATGCATATAACTTTAATGACAGCTGGGGGTTGCTATGAAGTTGCTCTAAGTAACTCTAAGTAGTGGAGAAGCCACCTTAGTAACATCACTCTGTGCTGCCTTCTTTAAACTTGACAACTTGGTGAGAGACTGCATTAATTTTGCAAATTTCCCAGTGGCTAGAAATTGACTGGCAAATTCCTTCAGGGCACTAATACAGACTATGAATCAATTAGACTTTATCAGACTTCGACCTTCCCACGGGAAGGAAAGTGAGAGGCAAGAGATGAGATGCATAGAAAGCATAGCATGCAATTTATTTCTCACTGGATTGTGGATTCAGTCCTTTGCTCTTTTGGACTCCATCTTCTCCAATCTCCCTCACCCATCCCTCAAACCCCTGCTATAACCCCAAGAAATATGATTCGCTTACCTTCATCAGTACAGACTCAGAAAGCTTTTCCCGGTTCACTATCTTAATGGCAACTTTCTGCCCTGTGATGCAGTGTACGCCCAGCTTCACCAGACCTACGGAAACAAGAAAAGCACTAGAGGTCTACCGTAATGCAATGTACCAAAGCTTTGTGACATCAACTCATTGCATTCTCTGCAATAGCACTTCCTTCAAATGTGCCTGTTTAGTAGCAAATGCTTGGTAAGCTTCAGAGATGAGAAACTGCAGGCAGATAAAAGATGCATTGGCAGAGAAAGGATGGAGCAGAAGAAGGCTGTGGATGAACTAGAGCAGGGGGTCTCCAACCTTGGCAACTTTAAGACTTGTAGACTTCAACTCCCAAATTCCCTCAGCCAGCCAATCTGGCTGAGGAATGCTGGGAGTTGAAGTCCGTAAGTCGTAAAGTTGGCAAGGATGGAGACCCCCTAAATTAGAGCTACCAATTACAGGTAGTCCTCAATTTACAACAGTTCATTTAGTGACCGTTCAAAGTTAGAACGGCACTAAAAAGTGACTTATGACCATTTTTCACACTTACAACCCTTTCAACATCCCTGTGGTCATGTGATCAAAATTCAGACTCTTGGCAAATGATTCATATTTATAACGGTTGCAGTGTCCCAGGGTCACTTGATCTCCCTTTGCAACCTTCTGACAAGCAAAGTCAATGGGGAAGCCAGATTCACTTAACAACGGTGTTATTAACTTAACAACTGCAGCAATTCACTTAATCACTTTGGCCAGAAAGGTCGTAAAACGGGGCAAAATTCACTTAACAACTATCTCACTTAGCAACAGAAATTTTCGGCTCAATTGTGCTCGTAAGTCAAGTGCTATTTGTAGTCGTCTTCCTTTTTTCTTCTCTGTCAAATTAGTATGCATTGGATTGATTTCTATGACTGAAATAAACCTTGGGTATCTACATTTATTGATTCTTACAACTTCCCACAAAAACCCAGGAATGGTCCCAGAGCATGTGCAAAATTGAAAGAATGGCCATGCACAGCCACCAGGTGTTCTTGGGTCATTGCTCTGAAATTTGATAACTCTAACTAAATCCTGCATTTTACGTAAGGCCCCTTCAAAGCTAAGTTTAGCGCTGGACAGAGAGCTTGAGACAGAAAAATAACTTTTGCTGTATGGAAGAGAAAGAAACAGAAGCAGAGTTAACTGAGAAGTTAGAGGGATAATAAAAAAGATACAAGAATGGTGGAGGGACCTCTTCTCAAAACTGCTATTTAGCCAGGGTTCCTCTCTTCATTACTATTATATCTGTAAATTAAGCATCTATGAAAGATATTATAAATAGCAATAATGCTATATTTAGAAAGCAAATCTATGCATGTGTTCCATGAAAAAAGTTTGTGTGTGTATTTCCAAGCATAAATGCTTCATTGCCATCTCACCCAGGGGGCATTAAACCCATGTAGTACTGCATGGGAAATTAGGAAGCCCTTCACAATACTACTATTAGCTTGCAAGGAAAATGCTTATACTCTGGAATTAATCCAGAGCATAGGGACACTTAGAGATAGGACACTTCCAATTCCCATTGAAATACAGGAGCTTTTTTCATTATTAGCCTTTTTTTCTACGTTCCCCACTTCTAGGCAAGATGCAGAATTAGAACTGCAACTTTCTCTGTCTTGAGCTATCCACATGGTAAGGATGACCATTACATGTTAAAGGACATTCCCTCCCATTTGCATCTCACCCTGGCACAAGCATGCCTTGGTGACAACTTCTGCTTTGTCGCCATGATCTCATCTCCAGTTCATCTTAGTTGATGTGATGCAAAAGTGCTTCCCACTCCCCACTTCCCACTTCTTCCAACATTGTCCAAGATGAGTATTACAGTATGTTAAATCTGTTAGGCCAGTAGTTTTCACTGGCTGGGGAATTCTGGGAGTTGAAGTCCACAACATTTTAAAGCTGCCAAGTTTGAAAAATATTGTATTAGGTTTTATAACCCTTTAAAGGTAGTCCTTGACTTACGACCACAACCGAGCCCCAAATTTCTGTTGCTAAGCGAGACTTGTTAAGTGAATTTTGGCCCATTGTATGACCTTTCTTGCCACAGTTGTTAAGTGAATCACTGCAGTTGTTAAGTTAGTAACACAGTTATTAAGTGAATCTGGCTTCCCCCTTGACTTTGCTTGCTGGAAGGTCGTAAAAGGTGATCACACAACCCTGGGACACTGCAACCGTCATAAATATGAGTCAATTGCCAAGTGTCTGAATTTTGATCACATGATCATGGGGATGCTGCCACAGTGTCAAAAACTGGTCACAAGTCACTTTTTTCAGAGCCATTGTAACTTCAAATGGTCACTAAATGAACTGTTGTAATGCGAGGACTACCTGTATTCTGGAGAGAAGTCAGATAATTGTCAGTGGCTGGGAAGAGAGAGGGCAGAGGGGGTAACAACATCAGTACAGTTTGCTGCCAACTCAAGGATGGATGGAGAGCACCTGAACTCAGAAATAAGGAAAGGCTCAGAGACTCAAGGTACTGAACCTGCAAGAATGCTGATTAAATCTATGGAAAGACATTTACATAGAAAGCTGTCTTCATGTTTATCAGCTTGCTCTTAAGAGCTCTATAAAAGGAGAAAAATGTATTGATGTTTACATGTTATGATAATGGCACCGAGCTATTGTCCTTACATTTGGCAGCTTGGTTATTTTACATCTCTAGTAGAGATAAAAGAGGCGATTAAAAATGAAAAAACCTTGCCCATTAAAAAAAAGCTGCAGCAGAATTATGAAGGTGGAAAAAAAACCAGGTCCTAAAGTCCAGTTCAGTTATGTTTCTTTCCTCTTCGAGGTAACTCAATTCCTATGGTTGAAACCTACTTATGCAAATTACACAGTATGAAGGAGAATAATGCAGGTTTTTACTTTATGTGTGGATTTCATCTCCCAGAATTTTTAGGTACAACCAACCTCTTAGAGCTGGAGACTGCACATCTGAAGAACCAGTAAAACGGGGAAGGTTGGTGAAGAATAAGCACAAAAAACAAACATACTAAACATTTTAACTCATTTCCACGACACCCTCTGTGACAATAACAGAAATACAAGTAGTCCTTGACTTACGATCACAACTGAGCCCAAAATTTCTGTTGCTAAGTGAGATAGTTGTTAAGTGACTTTTGCCCCATTTTACGACTTTCTTGCCACAGTTGTTCAGTGAATCACTGCAGTTGTTAAGTTACCAACAGGGTTGTTAAGTGAATCTGGCTTCCCCATTGACTTTGCTTGTCAGAAGGTCTCAAAAGGTGATCACATGACCTAGGACACTGCCACCGTCATAAATATGAGTCAGTTGCCAAACATCTGAATTTTGATCACTTGATCATGGGGATGCTACAACAGTTGTAAGTGTGAAAAGGGTCATAAGTACTTTTTTCAATTCCATTGTAACTCCAAGTGGTCACTAAATGAACTGTTGTAAGTCAAGGACTACCTGTAATTACAAAGATTACCATACATATAATGGCATAAATGTTTAATTTAATCAACTGCATGAGGTATTGACAAGAAGTTACTATTACTCCCTTACCATAAAGAAAATTGTGAATTAGAAAACCTGTGGAAAACCTCCCCAGTCCCCTATTTTATACATGTATTTCTCTGTGTTTGACAAGAGTCTTCAGTATAGGACAGGGGTCTTCAAACTTGGCCCTTTTATGACTTGTGGACTTCAACTCCCAGAATTCCTCAGCCAGCGTGCCTGGCTGAGGAATTCTGGGAGTTGAAGTCCACAAGTCATAAAAGGGCCAAGTTTGAAGACCCCTGGTACAGGCAATAATGATCTGACATGGATAGAGAAATTTCTATCTATAGCATGATGGTAGCCATAGATCCTTCAGACATTAAATGATGTTGCAGGACCAGAGTAGCAAAAACAAAAATGTGAATATCCTGACTGAGAACAGAAATTTAAAATCCAAGTTCTACTCAATAGCATAATCTCTATGTCTGGTTTGTGCTGCAAAAAACTTCTTTTGATGAGCAGGAGGATTTCCAACATTCTTACTTGTATTTAAAGCTGGCCACAGTACGATGGCAGTTAGAGATAAGTGCCTTAACATTCACAAAAGAGAGATGAAATGCTGTCACATTGCTTACGTTCTCGAAGGTTATGAACGGATCTTCAATCGATTTAAATGTCCTGCCTCTTGCTTCTCTTTTCAAGGAATGCAATGCTGTAAACACTTAAAGGCTAAAGACATCAAACGGATTCTATGAATTAAAGGCAGTTGTTTCCTGAAATTACCATAAATCAAACCAAATCCTCCAGCTTTAAAATATAATGAAACCGGCTTTAGATATAATATCAAAATCATATTGTAAAATTGGACTGGATCTAACCTACAAACCCTCAACTATCCCTAACCTAGTTGCTCTTGTGCTTTTGTATTTAGGTATCAACTCTGCACATAAACCCACCAGCTATTAGTCCACAATATTTTGAGCAAATCCATAAAAATAGTAGTTCTTTCTTTTTTTATATGAGATACATTCAGTTTCTCTCCACCCTTTATCTAAGGAAATCAAGGTGGTATATATGATTCTATTCTTTTCTTCCCATCATTTTTCCTCACAACAATCCTGTGAGGTAGATTAGGCTGAGAGTAAACATGTCTGCCAGAAAATCATCCCATGGACTTCAAGGCTGAGTGGAGATTTTAAAGCCAAAATTGCTCCTAGGATTTAAAGAAAAAAAAAAAAACACAACTAAATGGATGACAATGAATTTTATAGAGCCTTCCACTTAAAATATTTGACTCAAATTTTAAACTAATAAAGAAGGGGAAGTTCACTGCATTTAACCAAGGATTATGCTGTCATGGAATCCTTTTTGGCCATATTCTCTTATCTTGTAGAAGAAAACATGACATTTGGGGACAAAGAATGGATAATTCATGTCTCCGGTCCAGGACATAGCTAGCAGTTAGCAACAATCTGCCACTAGCTGCATGTTTAGCCAGTGTACTAAGGGAGACAGGAATCAACAATTTGTATAGGCTGTGTTCACGGCTACACAACATGAATACAGCTGCAAAAA